CCCCCCAATCTCTCCTGGCCAGCCCCAATGCCCCAGGCAAGCCCTGCTTCCAGCAGCCACTTCTCCCCTACTCCTCCTCCCGATCTCCCAGCCAGCCCCCTTGCCCCCCAGCCAGCTCTCCTTCCGCCGGCTGCCCCCTGCCCCAAATCTCCAAAGCCCACCCTGATTCCCCCATCCAGTGCTGCTTTTGGTGGCTGGCTCTCCCCTTCTCCTCCCTGGCCCTCCCCCCCTCCCCTCCCCCAGCTAGGACTCTTCCAGGAGCCGGAACATCCGGCTTCAGACTCCGCCCAGGCCGGCAGAGGGCTTGGGAGACCCGGCACCACATGGGCACTCTGGGAGCGTAGAACACCCCGGCAACCACTATGAGGCCCGGTATCGGGCCACAGCCCATAGTTTGGGAAACACTAGCCTAGTGAGATTGCGGAATCTCCATCACTGGAGATATTTAAGACCAGGTTAGACAGACACCTGTCAGGGGTGAGCTAGGACAACTCAACTTTGGAGCCCCAGGGGCCACGCTGATACTTACAGAACATGCTGAGGACCTCAACTTAAGTGTTGTTGCATATGCAAGCAAATATATACAAATACCTTCTCTCACACTGACAGGCATGAATACAAAGATTAAGGCAAGACTACACAACACAAACCCAATCTACACCGTGGGGCACAAACAAGCTGGCAGTGGGCAGCATACCAAGTTATTAATAAATATTTTATAAACCTTTACCTTTTTTCTCTGCTGCCATGTCTCCTCTCCTTGCTCCATCATCTTCCCTGGTGCCTGCTGCCCCCCAACTCCTTACCCTCCATTGCTGTCCTGACTCCTGCCCTTCTCACTGCCCTCAGCCCTCCTGCAACCTGCCCCCCTCCACTAGCCCTTTTCTCCCTCGTATGCCCACTCCTCCAGTAGCCCCACTCTGATCATGTGAGCTACCCCTCTTCTAACACCTCCCTCTACTCACCTGTCCTGCCTCTCTCCTCTGGTGCTTGTTCCTCCCTTGCAGGTGTCTGCCCTTCTGCTTCACCCCAGAATCCCCTGGCACCTGCACCTTTCCTTAGCCCCGCACCCTCCTGGTGCCTCCCCCTCCCCTCTCCCAGCCTCTCTCTTCCCCTCTCCCACCTCCTTTTCCCAGTCTCCCCCAGTTT